TGATGAAGATTGTGCTATTTAAATCCATTTTGTATTTTTTTCTTGGGCTTTCAGACATTTTCAGAAGCCTGTGATCAATACAAGCGTCATGAGCATAAAAGCAGAAGAAGAAACTCTATTTGTCAACTGGACAAAGGTTTATTTTGGTCGAATACGTTTCTAAGTTCATCCAAGCTGCTTCTTCAGTTCTGGTCAGACTCTGGTGGACACTTCCTTATATCTGTCTGCAGGAGGAGCTAACTACACTGAAACTACACTGAAACTACTCTGAAACTAACACTCCTACCTGTTTACAGTTTCTGGGCTTATTGAACTGTGAGTCTGCATCAAAAAACATGTAAAAGTAGGATTATGAGTTAAATTTTTTATTAAATATATGAGTTCAGAACGAAAAAACAAGAGTAAAAAATATAAAAGAAAAAAAAATTTAAAGTAGAATATTACTTTCCTTCTGCAGTTTGACTCATTGGACCAATCACAGGGCAGTTTTGTGGTTTAGTTTTAGTTTAGCTCAAACCAGTGACATATTTTATCATATTTGAACAGTACTGTATTGTTCGGACTATAAGTTGCTCCAGAGTATAAGTCGCACCCGCCAAAAAATATGTAATGAAGAAGAAAAAAACATATATAAGTCACACTTTTTGGGGTAAATTTATTTTATAAAACCAGAGACCAGGAACCGACATTTCCTTTTGAAAATCAAGTTGTAGTAAAAACAATAGAAGAGAGAACAACAGACTGTTAACGTCACATATGAACAGTTCTTCAGATAAACTATAACATAAACAACAGAACAGAACAAGTTTAACAAACTCTCCATCTCACTCCAAATCACTAAATCCATTCAATTCTTCATCCTCTGTGTCACTTCTGAACAACTCGGCCTCAACCTCTGGAGGTACTGTATTTTAGGGGCTATTAGTCGCTCTGGGTTATCAAGACGCACTGTCATTAAATGGTCTATTTTCTAACTTTTTTCACAAATAAACCGCACTGGACTTTAAAGGAAACACAACAGTGTGATGGGTGAGTGGTTTTGTTTGTTTGTTCGTTCACGGTGACTCTGGGCTTTGTTCAGTTGTGGCGTGTAGGGAGGTGCTGTCTGGGACCAACGGATTGTCGGCGTGTTCGCAGTGACTCAGTTGTTCAGTCGTGTCTAGAAGCGGCACATTGCACTCGCTTTTTCGGTTCGTTCCTCCGTTCCGTTCCTCGTCGGCGTGGAGTGATGAGTGTGTCTGTGGGTGTGTTTCGCTGTGCGGTCGCTGTCTGCTCCGTGTGTGTTTGCGTGTTCTGCGGCTTTGTAGTTTACTGAAGTCGTGCTGGGACACCCGAGTGGATTCATGTATAGGGCGCTCTGGCTTGCGGAGAGCGCGGCCGTTTTTTGATGGGGTTAGAGGCTTAAAAGCGCGACTAATAGCCCAGAAAATATGGTAAACAGAGCGCCGCTTCCTCTTCTGTGTCGCTGTCGTCAGACTCAGCATCAGTTCCAGTTAGAATTGTCCGTCCATCCAGTGACTTCAGGAAAGTTTCATGGTTCATCCTCCCGGTGTCACAAGTTTCCCTCTCACTCCAAACTTTCTTTCTGCTGCTCGATTATCGTTTTCAGCTGCAGATTTCGTCACTTGCAGTTTGTAATCTGCAAAATCTGATTTTCTTTTTGGGGGAATTTCTGTTCAGTCTCCTCAGTGTCTTTATAAGTTTGTTTCAATCTGTAGTAGAAGTAGAAGTAACGGTGCGATCGACTGACATGATACAGACAGGACAGAGGCTCTTTCTGCAGGAGACATGTGCAGTAGAGCCAAGTGACAGTGGTACAGGAGGAACAGGAGCAGCAGATACTCACACACAAGACTAGAACCTCTCCACACTTCATTGTCAACATTTTAATATATAAGTCGCAGGAAACACACAAACCATGAAAAAAGTGCAATTTATAGTCCGAAAAATACGGTAATATGGACAATTTTGTTTTTGAAAATATATTAGAGGAAGCGGATGAGTGCGTATATGAATGGGCTTGACGTCTGTGCTTTTCTCTGGTCTATATTGGGCGAAGTTTGATCTCTCAGCTCTCCCCGCTCCACTGACACTTCAGCCAATTATCTTCAAATATTCGTCTGAAAACCGTCAAGTAAAGGAGCGAAATGTTCAGACACATCCTGCATTGATTACGTGTGCAGCTCCACTCACAAAATCGAAACTCAAATCAATCCGGCATCTGACGAGTTATAACACTCCCTTTTACTAAAAAAAAACAAAAAAAACACCAGACTATTATTAGCAAAGGTATAGATCCAGTAAAAGGTAAAGTAGTTTCTCTCCATTCTTTAAAGCTGCACTGTTTTTGATTTTGTGCTTAAATGAAGAATGGAAAAAACGGATAATGGCCGTTTCCTGTTTACGTGATTTCGTGACTGCGATGCCGAAATTTTGCACCACATATGGACTGAACCAGGCCTGGGACCAGACCGGGACCAGAGCGAGACTGAGACCAGACCAAGACCAGACCGGGACCAGACCGGGACCAGAGCGAGACTGAGACCAGACCAAGACCAGACCGGGACCAGACTGAGACTGAGACCAGACCAAGACCAGACCGGGACCAGACTGAGACTGAGATCAGAACTGAGACTGGGACCAAACCGAGACTGAGACAGACACCAGGCCGGGACCAGACTGAGACTGAGACCAGACCAAGACCAGACCGGGACCAGAGCGAGACTGAGACCAGACCAGACCAGACCAGACCGACTGAGACTGAGACAGACAAGACCAAGACCAGACCAGACCGGGACCAGACTGAGACAGAGACAGACTGAGACAGACCAAGACCAGACCGGGACCAGACTGAGACTGAGATCAGAACTGAGACTGGGACCAAACCGAGACTGAGACAGAGACCAGGCTGGGACAGACTGAGACTGAGACCAGACCAGACCAGGAGCGAGAGTGAGACGACAGACTGACCAGAGACCGGGAGAGACCAGGGACCTGAGACTGAGAGACTGAGACTGACAGACTGAGACAGAGACCAGACTGAGACTGAGATCAGACTGAGACAGACCGAGACTGAGACGAGACCAGATCAGAACTGAGACTGGCCAGACGAGACTGAGACGAGACTGACTGAGACTGGGACCAGACCAAGACTGAGACAGACACCAGGCCGGGACAGACTGAGACTGAGATCAGAACTGAGACTGGAGACCGAGACTGAGACAGAGACCAGGCCGGGATCAGAACTGAGACCGGGACCAGAGCGGGACTGAGACAGAGACCAGGTCGGGACCAGACTGGGACCAGACTGAGACCAGACCGGAGGCTCAGAGCCCACGAGAGGGCCGGGGCTCGAAGCTGAGGCTGGAACCCTGCGGAGGTTTGGAGTCAAAGCTCGGAGTTTGCTCCGGTCCCGCTCCGGTCCCGCTCTGGTCCCAGCCTGGTCTTGGTCTCAGTTCCGCTCTGGCCCCGGTCTCAGTTCTGATCTCAGTCTCGGTCTGGTCCCAGCCTGGTCCCGGTTTCAGTCCCGCTCTGGTCCTGGACCTGGATCAGTCCTGGTTCAGTCCGTATGTGGTGCAAAATTTCGGCATCGCAGTCACGAAATCACGTAAACGGGAAACGGTTGTTATCCGTTTTTTCCATTCTTCATTTAAACACAAAATCGAAAACTGAAAAATTGATTCTTTATCTGTTTTTTCATTTTGGTTTTGGAGACAAATAATGAAGAAAACAGTTGTTTTTTCGTCTTCTTACTTTTGGTTTTATATTGAAAAACAAATGATACACAGATTCTAGAAAACAGGTATTTCTTCCTAAATACACTTTGTTCTTGGACAAACGCTTCAGTCTCACTCACATATTTTCCTCTCTTCCTTCAGTTTTTCAGAACATAACAGAGTGTGCCCTCCTCGTTAAATTAAGTGTGTTTAATTAAAACTGTCAGAGCCCAGACATCTGCTCTGTGTCCGCGGAGAAAACAGTGATACTCAGGATTAAAAACACTCATTTATTAAATCCTCTTTTTGTTTTCACGTGTATTATTTTTTCTTAAATGTCACTTTCTCAGAGGTGATACCAGAACAGAAACTGTATTCTGAAGTTTAAATGTTCATTTTAAAAGGCCCATGTTATACTGTTTTCTGATCTGTTCTAATGTTTCTTCATCATAAACAGACCTGGAGTTGTGTTTTGTTTCATTCTCACATATTTCACACACAAATCTTGCGTATTTAAGCTGAGTTCATCTCTCAAACACAAAACACTGTTCCACCTTGTGATGTCATGTGGTAGAAGCATTCCACTGTGTTTTTAAACTCCACACACCTTCCCTAGAATCATTTGGATGATTTTAGCCCTGCCAAACTCTACTGAACTAAAAGTTAAAAGGAGCTGTTAACTTGAAAACTACCGCTTCATGACATCACAAGGTGGAACAGAGCATTTTGAGGTTTGGCGATATAGACAGACTAATATGAAACAAAACACAGGGTTCCCACGGTCATGGAAATCCTGGTAAAGTCTTGAAATTGAAAATGTAATTTTCCAGGCCTGGAAAAGTCATGGAATTTTAGTATCTCTTTCATGCAACTACGGCGTTCTGTGTGTTTCACACTGTGTTTTTAAAGGTGCAGTTGACTAGCATTTCAATATAAAAATCTAAAATATAGTAAAAAAGTTTTAATAGTAATAAATAATCCCAGTAAATAATCACTTCTCTGGGTCCCTGAAGTGTGAGAAAACATTTAAAGGGTCATCAAGACAGAAAGTGTTGGGAACTACTGACCAATATCACCACAAATTTGACCATTGGTTGTTTTTTAATTTATTTTACTTTATTGTATTTTTTTATATATTTTTATATTTTTATATTTTTTTTTTATATATATTTTGTTTTATTTTGTGTGTGTTTTTATTTATTTATTTTATTTTTAATTTTATTTAATTTTATTTATATTTTTTGCACAATTATCTAACTTGTCTGTATTTCTCTTTTGTCCCAGGCGTCTCTGAATGCATCATCATGGGCATCCCAATGAACATCGGCACCGGACTGTTCAAACTCCTGCACAAAGCCGACAAGAACTCGTCTCCTCCACAGCGCCCCCTTCTGTTCGACAGCCCAGACTTCCACGTGTCTCTGCTCACGTAGCAGCTGCCAGCCTCACTGTACAGACTGAAAAAACTCACCGAAACAAAATATGAAAAACATGAATATCTACATCGGCCAAATGACTTGAAATCAGTATAAAAGAGTAAAGAATTTATTAATTTTTTGTTTAAATTCATTTGTATTAATAATTTTATTATTTGACAGCACTATTAAAACAATGAGAGCACTGCAAAAAAAGTAAAAACAAATTGCCCATTTAATATTAAAGCAATAGGATGTAACTCTGCCCTAAAATATACAAAAATAAGAGCATGTTTTTTCATTATGTGTTACAAATCTGACTCTTATTTGGTCTCAGGGAAGGCTACATATGAGAGGTTGTTTCTGTGGAAATTTAGTTTTTTTGGCAATCTATTGCCACTATTTCAATGGAGAATATTCCAAAGTGTGGTTTTAATTTTCTATTTCCATGGAGACGTGCTGGTGACAGGTGCCACCTCCAGAAAGTTACATACTATGTCTTTAATTTTGAATTAATCTATAATTCATTTACAAACTTAATCTTACTTTTTATTTCAACTTCATTTATTCAACATTCATTTATTTTCATCAAATTTATCTTCCAAAATTAGCACTTACAAAACCTTTATCTAATTAGAAGAACATTTATTTTGATTTAAATCATATTAAAACAGGACCAAATTAACCATCATAATTGTGCATACCTACTAGTATCAACTCAATTTTGATACTAAGGGATGGACATGATTCTGATTCCGATACCACCGTGATAAAAAATACTTTCTTGTCTTTAGACAATAGAATGTGTTTTTCAACATTAAATCGATGTACTTTCTTTTATATTACCGAGGCCACGTTTACACAATGTTTTTAATTCCGAATGAAATAGTTTGGAATTAAAATATTACATGTTTACATGGACATAATAATTCTGAAATGAAGTTTACATGGAAAACATGTTAAATCGTCTTTATTTAATTCTGCTCAGCATATTTTCGTCGACCAGAAGAAAACACACACTTCAGCTGCTACTGGCTTTTCTATCATCTCAGTTTGTCGTTACGCCACCGACACAAACACGATCCAAACTTTTTTCGGCTGTCGTTCCGATGATAATTGCGCAGCAGCTGGAGAATTGTCTCATCACGCTTTACGTCTGTCGGCTGAGGGGGAGAAGGAGGAAGAAGACAAACTGAGTGTGAGGCTGTTCTACCTCAGTCCACTCCCGCATCCCGCTCACAAATCCAAAATACAATGAAAGTCCGATGCCAGGACTGGTGGAGCCGGATCGTCGGGATCGCGTCAGAATGGCGACACAACGAGCACGCGCTGAACGACCGGGATTATTTTTAAGAAGAATAAATGTTTACTTGGCAGATTCTTCATTCTGACTTCGCAGCATTAGGGATTCGTTCGCTCGACAGTAGGCGGGTAATTTTTTTTAATTTAACCAATCGCCGCTATTTCGTTGTGATGTGTCGTAATGCGCCAAATCCCGTAGGAAGAAGGACAATAACGTCTTTCCCCTCGATAAAATTCACCGAACATTCTCTTTGTTCCGGCTTTAAATCCTCGATCTCGGGAATCGCACCACCAATCGCAACACAGTATATATGACTCTCCGCTGATTGGCTGGTGCCCGAACTCGCATTTCCGAGATTTTTGCGAACCTTCTAGTGTATCCAGATTCCTGACCTAGTCGCTGGAGAGAAATGAAATTGAGCAGAGGCACTAAGTTTACATGATCGAATCAATCGGAATAAATTAATTCGGCTTTAAAATCGGCATAAACCACCCACTAACTTCTAAAATAAGTTTAATTCCGAATCATCATTTTCATTAGGAATTAAGTGTTTACATGGTCTTTTTAAAGCGGAATTCATTTGTATTCGGAATTAAAATTCTCAAGTAAACATGGCAAGTGTAGTTTTATATCTGTGTAATCCCGACAGTATCGATACCTGCTCTAATTTTAGTTTTAGTATTGATTAGCATCTGATTTTTGACATTTTTGACGACCCTAATACATAAATTATAAGTAAATAAACTGAACTAAAACCACTCAGAATGACAGATTTCAAGTCACAACATGCAGATATCTTGTTTTTGCAATGGATTTAATTTGAATTGGAAAACGCCAGCGTCTAACAGACTGTAATAATCACTTCTAACAGTTTAATTACCCACAAGGCTTTTCACCGCTTCGTTTAGGCTCCATTAGGGTTCCCTGATAAAAGATTATGTCCGTACAAAAGCTCTGTTTGAATTCAGGCGGAAATTATTAGCGTAAAATAACGACGTCGGCCTTGTTTAATTGTTTCGTTTTGCATTTTCGGATTCGCCTTTGACCTGTGAAAAAAATGACTCCTTCAGACATTTGCGGGAGACGTGTGTTTATTTTGTTTTTGTGTATTTAATGTAATAAATTCTGAATTAAAAGAGTTATGTTTGTGTATATAATGTCATATAATCTGTGTAGTTAAAGATGCACTTTGTAACTTTTCTGGTGTCATCTGTCGTTTCCATGGAGATGCATCGCTTTGCCTGGAATGTTCTACAGTACAGCATTAAACTTGTATGAGCAGAAGAACACTTTACAAGTCAGATCTGTGGAGAGGCAAGCCCGCTCACAGTAAGAATGTATGTTTTTATGGCTAAAATGATAAATATAATACTGAATACATGCAAGATCGCAAAGTTTAATGCCATACTGCGGAACATTTCAAGCAAAGCAATAACTATCCGTCGGAACAAGGCAGTGGTAGATCCCCTAGAAGAAAAAGTTACATCGTGCGTCTTTACGGTAGAAGTCAGATCCGTGAAGAGGCGAGCCCAGTCACAGTAGAAATGTGTGTTTTTCAAGGTTTTTGTTATAACCTGTAATTGAAATACAGTGAACCCTCGTTTATCGCGGGGGATACGTTCCAAAAATAACCCGCAATAGGTGAAATCCGCGAAGTAGTCAGCTTTATTTTTTACTGTGATTTTACAATGCAATACTGAACTGCAGAATGAAACAAAAAATAAAACCTCTTTTCAGGCCCAACATGTGTTAAAGAAATAGAAATATTAACGTTTTCTTACAAATAACTATAATAGTTTAAAGAACGGTGTTGTAAAACAATATTTTTATATAGTAATGAATACAAGGTAGGAAACATTGTCACTCGTGTATTTCATAGTCCCTCCAGCTCTTCGTCCTGACTCCGTTTGCGCTGTAGCGTCTTTTTCTACTGAAGGCTGCGCAGGGGTCTTTCTCCGAGAGAAGAACATCGTTATGGGTAGTTGTTGGCCTCTTTCTTTTTCTGAGCAAGAAGATTTTTATAAACTGACATCCCACCTTCAATTATATTTGAGAACTGCAATGAACGACACATCAAAGGGTCCCATTCTTGTGCCGCGCGCTGAATTTGGCAGAATGTACAGAAACGAAAAACTGTTGGCATGGGTGTAATGAAAAACCAATATAAACCTTTTTCACTTCTAGACAACAGTAACGCCCCTAAGCCAATCAGGATTCACTGTAAAAAATAAAGCACTGTAAAAAATTCCGCGAAGCAGCGAGGCCGCGATAGGTGAAGCGCGATATAGCGAGGGATCACTGTAATGTAAATAGTTAAGTTTAAATGAAAGTTAATTTTTTTTTTACCTCCTGTAACAAACTAGAAGACATGTTTTGTTTTGTTTTGAACACTCTTTCTTCAGTGATTTTCAATACAAATGTTATATTTCGTGAACAAGACCCTGAGGCAAAGCTCTCGATTTACCGGTCACTCGTCGTTCCTTCTATCACTTCTGGTCATGAGCTCTGGGTAGTGACCGAAAGTACAAGATGGCGTATACAAGCGGCTGAAATGAGTTTCCTCCGCAGGGTGGCTGGCCGCTCCCTTAGAGACAGGGTGAGGAGCTCAGTCACACGGGAAGAGCTCGGAGTAGAGCCGCTGCTCCTTCACGTCGAGAGGAGCAGCTGAGGCTCGGGCGTCTGTTCCTGAAGCCTCCCGGACGCCTCCCTGGAGAGGTGTTCCGGGCTTGTCCCACCGGGAGGAGGCTCCGAGGAAAACCCAGGACACGCTGGAGGGACTGTGTCTCTGGGCTGACCTGGGAACACCTCGGGGTCCCCCTGGAGGAAGCGTCTGGGGTGTAGGAAGTGTGGGAGTCCCTGCTTAGACTGATGCCCCCACAATCTAGCCCCGGATAAGCGGAAGAATATGGATTGATGCATGGATGTTACATGTAGTTATTTATACTTCGCATCATGCCCGGGTTGTTCTGCATAAAGGTCTGTGGTGGAATTTGCAGCAGTTACTATGGTGACACAAATAGGGTGACCAGACGTCCCTATTTACCCAGGACAGTCCCAGTTTTGATCCTGTGTCGCCTGTCCTGATTTGTCCCAGTTTTATACAAGAAATGTCCCAGGTGTCTCTATTTTTGATCAATTTGTTACACACGAACAATAAAGAGGCCAAAATCTGTCTTTTTCTTTTAGCTAAAATATATAAAGCCATGATTGAAAATGAGCATAAGGCAAAAAAAAAAAAAAAAAAAAAGCAACAACAGAAGTCCTTCAGATTAAATACTGACGTGTGAGTAGAGAAAGGACAGTGTAAATGCTCTTTTCACAATTTTATTATTACGACGATCCCAACCCGGGTGTGTCCCAGTTTTTTGTTTTGAATATCTGGTCACCCTAGACGCAAGGCACACACACACTAACACTTCACAGCCTGAAAATTCCCTTGCATTGTCGTCCGCTGTGATTGTGGCTTTCTTCAGTTTCCGTCGACTTCAGCGCAGAATAGTGACGTTTGTGGCTTGTTGATAACGTGTAGGTGGATGAATGCGCTTTGACCGTTCAGACTGAAGTCACATGTCAAAAGATCAGATATGTATCGGTTTCAGGAGCACATATCCAAGTGGACTGAGTCGCATTTGAAAAAATCTGATCTGTGTCGTTCAGACTGTCATTAAAAGATCAGATACAGGAGCATAGGGGCCAAAAAATCGGATTTGGGTCACTTCAGTCTGAACGACACAGATCCAATTTTTTTCAAATGTGACCCAGGACACTTGGATATGTGCTCATGAAACTGATACATATCTGATCTTTTGACATGTGACTTCAGTCTGAACGGTCAAAGCTCATTCATCCACCTACACGTTATCAACAAGACACAAACGTCACTATTCTGCACTGAAGTAGGCGAAAATTGAAACTATTGAATAATGAACTCCATGTCACTGAAGTGAAGCACATCACCACTCACCACTCTTGGCTCCGTCTCCACATCCACACGTTCCTTTCAACGGACGTCGCTGCCGCTGCCCACAAAAACACCACGACCAAAAACCTCGTCCTTCTCCTTCTCAATCTCCTCCGAGGAGGAACTTTAAAATCTCCAGGTGCTCGATGCTGCGTCCATGTTTGGACAACTTCTGTAAACACAGAGACGCTCGCTGCGGTTGACGTCGTCGTGTCTCCAGTGTCACATGTGGGACACTTTTGGGCCGTTTAATGTTCACACTGGAGTCACATACAAGTTGCATTTAATTGGAAATGTGAACGACCTCGCAAAAACATCGGATTTCACAAAAAAATCGGAATTGAGCGTTAAGCCCTGCAGTCTGAACGTAGCCTTGGATATCGTTACATCCGTAATTAAAACAAAGCTCAGATTACAGTTTAACTTGAGTAACAGAGATTCAGACAGAGCACTGACACCAGCTGCAAAGTGACCAAACGTCTGTATTTACCCAAGACAGTCTCAGTTTTGAGCCGTGTCTCCTGTCACTGCAGATTTATACAAAACCAGTGATTCGTCTCAAGAAATATCTAATGTGTCTCTATTTTTGACCAACCTGATCCCTGCCAACATTAAAAAAAGGCGTACATTGTCATTTGTTTCGGTAAAATACAGAAAAGCTGCTTAAAAAATGACCAAAACACAAAGAAAATGTGACTATACTGACTCACATTAGTGCGTCATTAGTGAAATTCTGGTCCCCCTTTGCAAAGTATCAGTGTGTTTTTGGTTTTCTTTGTGGAGCCTCGGAGTCGTCTGCAGCGGCGAGGGCGTGTGGAGCGTGTTTACTGTGCCGTGTGTGTGGGCTGTGATGATCCCAGAACAGATCAGTGTGATACAGACTGGAGCTGATTACACACATTTAGCTCCGTACAATTACACACGCGAGCGGCCCTGTTGTGCCTCTGCACCTCTACTGCCTTCGGCGAAAGTTTGAGCTGGACAAAAGTTTAAAGTTTTGCAGCTAATTTACTGACTATTTTTAGACGGAAACAACTTTGTGATTCTGTGGAAAAAACTTTTAATTTTATTGCGAGCTTCTTTTTAAAGGGATAGTTCAGGTTTTTTGACATGAATCTGTGTGTCATCCCTGTCAGCAGTGTGATGCATCCACACTGACTTTACCTCCGAAAGCGTCCGGTGAGCCGAGATCCTGGCCGGTTTTGGTGCTGAGGAAAGTAGTTCGGCAAGTTGTCTGGGGACAGTCTAATAAAGCGTTTTTCTTCTCAAAACAACATGTGTTAAAAAGAGTGATACATTTGCACCACAAAACCTCCGTCCTCTAAAAAGTCAGACCTCATAATCACTTGGCGCTATTTTCTCTCCATGCGTATCACTCCGCCAGGTGACAGCCGCGCACGGATCAATCATTTTCTTCAGTTGTTCGGTGTTTACTTGTTGAGACCGGTGACGTTGCGACGCGAGAGACCTAATGTCAGAGCTAGTGTGATACGTATATAAGCTTGTATAAGATACATAACTATGTATCTAAAAAATGGTGCGAACTTGCGATTTTCCGGGCTGTAACAACAAAAGTCTGTCTGAATCTCCGCACAAATTTCACTGTTTCCCTGTAACAACTGTATATTCGGGTTCAAACAGATCTCCCATCGGCTCTGTGCTAAAATCAATTTCTTCATCATCGGTGTCGTAATCAGACATGTTGTTGCTGACATTCCGAGCAGTAAACAAAGTGAAACAGGCGCTGCTGTCACCTGGCGGCAGTGCGCAGTGATACGTACGGAGAGAAAATAGCACCAAGCGATTATGAGGTCTGATTTTTTAGAGGACGGAGGTTTTGTGGTGCAAATGTATCACTCTTTTTAACACATGTTGTTTTGAGAAGAAAAACGCTTTATTAGACTGTCCCCAGACAACTTGCCGAACTACTTTCCTCAGCACTAAAACCGGCCAGGATCTCGGCTCACCGGACGCTTTCGGAGGTAAAGTCAGTGTGGATGCATCACACTGCTGACAGGGATGACACACAGATTCATGTAAAAAAAAACTGAACTATCCCTTTAAATTGCTGAATGAAAAATGAGTTTGTGAACAGATCTGACTTGTAACTTGCCAAACTTGTCTCCATAGAGGTTGGTAACTGTTGGTAAACTGTGGTTTAGAAGGTTCTGGATTTGGTTCCCAGATTGTCCAGGCTTTTGTGTGTGGAGTTTGCATGTTCTTCCTTGGTCTAGGTGGGTTTTCCACGACAGATCCTGCTTTCCTCACCAGCTTTTCCACCCAAACCCCGGCCTTCACCTTCAGTCTTCCTCCAGCAGGTCACAGCGTTGAAGAGGACACCGGAGATGACTGTCTGGTAGAACTTGGGTGCTTTAATACTTTGACTTAAAGGTTGTATAGAGGATTTTCCAAGGAACGAGAAATCCAGCGACTGTTTGTCCTTTTTCAAATGTTGCGCATGCGTGAAACCCCCCCCCTCCCCCACAGCTCCTACGTAGAAACGCCTCCTCCCGCCTC